CGGTTTGTGTTTTGTTTGCTATTTTTAGATTCACCCATCATCAGTTTTTTGTAGTGATACAAAACAAAAAAAAAATAACAAAACAAACACACACACACACACATACACAACATAAGAAACTGTGAAAAGAATTCAAGTTGATTCTTTGGATTTCTTCATTTAGTTAGTTTCCTAGTATATGGCCCACACTATCATTATTTCGAACAAGAATCAAAAAATTGTGTGTGTGTCATAGCTGTCGAAAAATTAGCAATGATGATTATCATCATCATCATCATCATCGTCGTCGTCGTCGTTGAAAAATTGAGGTACAAATATTAAAGAATTGACAGAATAGCAAACATCAACAGTTTTTGACATTTTTTTTCTTGTCTATTTTATTTCATTTAAATCATCCCATCATTTTGATGCATATAATAATTTCTGGCTGTCTTTCTGGTTGCAATGAATGAATGAATGAATGTGAATGTGAATGAATCCAAATGCCTCTTGTGAGAATAGTAAAAAAAAAAAAAGTTTAATAATGAAAAATAGAAAATTTCTTATGTTTCTTACTAAGTAAGTTGAGTAAGACAACATTTAATGATGAAAAACGGGAAAAAAAAGTGTAATGAATGAATGAATGAATGAATGAAAAGTGTGAAAAAACAAACACACACACACACACACACACAGACAGACAGACCAAGAATTTCGAGTAAAAAGTTGAACTTTTTTTTCCATAAGAATGTCATGAAATTGGTTAGAAGAATAAAAAACAAAAATTAAGTAGTCTCTCGGTGTTGTTGTTGTTGTTGTTGCTGTTGTTTAATAGATCATCATTCATTCATTTCGCTTGAAAAAACTGTTCATTTTTTTTGTTTTGTTTCCAAACATTCCGCATATCCACTTCAAGTTGTGTTTTTGATAATGATTAATTCGTTGCTTTGTTTTTTGTTTTTTGTTTGACTTTAATTCTTTTTTTCCATTCAACATTCTTTCTTCCTTTTTGTTTTCTGGTGATGAGAACAGAATTCTTTGTGCGCAAAAGAAAATTTTTTTCTTTTTGTTTTGTATCGTTTTGGTGTCATTCGAATGTTGTCATTTTATTTTGTGAATTTCTCCGGTTTTTAGTTCATTTAAATTTTTTTTTTTCAATGTCAAAATCTGTGTCTGTGTGTGTGTGTGTGTATGTTATCTATTTTTGAATTTGATTTGTAGTGAACAAAAAACAATTTGGAACCACGACGAATCCATGATGATGATGATGATGATTGAAACTTGAATAGAAAATTAATTTGATAGTGTATATAAAGTGTTAATATTTTTTGGTACTGTTTTTAAAACACTTGCGTTCGACACACATGATAATATGGCTTCTTGCCGTTTTATTTGGTTCATTTATTGTTTATATCAAACATCTGTTACAACGGCCAGAAACAATCGAACTTTTTTATTATATTCATTTTAGACAACGTCTTCATCGTAATTCATTATGTTCAACCAATGTTGAAGATATTGGAAAACTTTTCCATCATCATATTTATGGTATGTGTGTGTGTGTGTGTGTGTGTGTGTGTGTGTGTGTTGTGTGGGTGTGTGTTTGGGTTTGGGTTTGTAGACTTGAAAGAATCCAACTTTTTAACCCTTTTCTCTCTCTTTCTTTTGATCGATATTTAATCTTTTATATATATAATTTCTTTAACACACCATTTTAATCGCCATCTGATTGAATTGATTGGTCTATTTATCAGAAATATGATTATGATTTTATGATCTGAGATGACTATGAATAATCTGTCATGACAGCCACATATCTGATCTGATCTAATTTTATGTGACGATGATGATGATGATGATGATGATTCTCTTCATTTCTGTTTTTTATCTATATATTTGACATGGTATTTTTGTTCTCTTCCATTGAACGGAAATTAAACGTAAACGGAAACTACTATTCTTGTGTGAATTGACCGCCTACAATTTTTTTTATCTAAAAAAGCTTCAAATTTTTTTTTCAAATTCCAAGAATCAATGCTTTACCTACTTCATTCACATTGTGGAATTCATGCTGTTCCAATAGCAACAGCAGCAGAACGGCATTCACCTTTACTAGTTACCGGGTGCATCGTTTCATTTCTATTTTCATTGCTATAGCGGTAAAATAATCCACTTATATTATTATATTAACCTAAAAAAAAAAATTTGCCCGAAATAGGAATACACGCACACAGCGCACAACGAAAGTTAAAATCAGGTCAACTTCTCGCTATTTTCGGGTTTTTTTTCTTGTTCATTTGACTCGTTCCATAAATAGCATCCGATGATTCATATATATATATATAGCATTCTGGAATCCAAAATATCTTCTTTTTTTTGCTATGTAATTTCAAAATTATCACTGCCATGTACTGTCATCATTGTTGAATTATTTTTGATGATTATGATGGATTCCGGAAATATTCTTTGAAATATTCATTTATTTATTTGTGCGGGTGTGTGTGTATATTATTATTATTTTTAATAATTGAATTTCTTGTTGATTTTGGATCATGAATCAAACATTTTCTTGGCTAAAAATTATTAATACAATATAAATTATAAATTTTTGCCGAAAAACTTCAAACAAAAAATTTTTTTTCCTCATTTCATTAGAAGAGAATAAGGAAGCAAAAATATTCCCATACAAATATGGTATATGGAAAAATTTTTGTTTTTTTTTTTTCGTTTGTCAACAACAACAACACAAAACTTAACGTGTAAATTTACAGCAAACAATATATTGACAGGCATCTCAGCATTGGTGGTAGTAGTATATATTCAGATATATCAATAAAGCCGAATGATAATAAAATTAACACTCACAATACCACTAAGACAGACATACAGACAGAAAGATCATCATTTGAAAACCAGAAATAAATAAAAAAAAAATGCCGAAAGATATTGACTATATTGAAAAATATGACAAACAGAAATATAAATAAATTAATATATGGTGGAAAAACAACAACAACAAACAACGACAACAACAACAACAACAAAAGTGAAGAATTATGTTTCTGTTTTTTTTTTGGTATTTATTTATCTTGCCTACAAAAGTTTCTGGTTTTTTTCCCTTTTTTTGTTGTTATTCATCCATTTTTTTTCCAATTTGGTAATGTTCCATATCATCATCATCATCATCATATATGATGATATGGTACAAGCAAAAAAAAATTGGAACAACATCATCAACATCAAACTATATTCTATAGCCAATTCATAGAATAAAACAAACAAACAAACAAAAAAACAGCCAAAAAAGAGAGAGACTCACGAACATTTTCATTCTATACATACATACATACAATTTATTTTGTTGAGCAAAAAAAAAATAGAATGAAAGAAAGAAAAATAGTGACAAGAGAATGTAGAAAAAATCCGGTTCCATCATCATAATCATAATCATTGTCATTTATATATGGAATCATCATCATCGTCAGTTTTTATTGGGATATACCGATATTTATGAAATTCATCGTTTTATTCAGTGTTTCAAAGGCTTAATTTTTTATTTTGGTTTTTTTTTTTTCTCTGTGTGTGTTGTGTGTGTTTATATTTCTGAAACTTTTGTGTTTGTTTCAAAATTCATCATTGAATTTGTTATTCATAATGTCCATTTTATATGATGATGTTTCATGAAAAGATCACCATCATCGTCATCATCATCATCATCATCATCATCATCATCATCATGATCATGATGATGATAAGCAATGATGCGGCGAAATATCTATCATTTAGCAGTGTATTCACGTCGTTGGCGACGAAGAATAACTATTAGACGACGAAATTCTGGTTATTTGTTTCTTTCTTTGATTATTATCAAGATATGTGTGTGTGTGTTTGTGTGTTTTTATGGTTTTTTTTCTCGTTCTCGTTTTCGTTTTTGTCTGCTATGAATGAACTTATTTTTTTTTTAAATTCCTTCATTTTCAATGGCTGAATTTCATGGGCCAAATTTTATGATCAACTGGAATAAATTTTTTTTTCGTATTTTTTAGATTCAAAATCAAAAAAAAAAAATCATTCATTCATTTGATGAATAAATCGAATGGTTTTTTAAAGATTCGAAAAACGCATGTCCATATAATTTGATATATGGACAGATATGAAAATCGGAAATCTAAGATCTACATTTTTCAAAAATATATATACAAAATCAAATAGACGAAATGTTTTTTTTTCTGTTTGCCATACACACACACACACACACACACACACACACATGAACACACGCACAGGAAATTGATCAAGGTCCATGATGATGGACAATTTCAGAATGGAAAAATCTTTCACTATGTGATTTTGATTCTATGTAGTCATTTTCAATGTCATTGTCGTTTTGTTGATTTACATAATATCAGATTTTCTTTTATTTTTTTTTTTTTTTTGTTCTCCACTGTCTTTACATTTGATTGGAACAAACAAAATGAAAATGAACTGACTGGTTCTCTCCAATTCCACCCATCCATCCATCCATCCATCCATGTATATAGAATTGAAAGTAAACATTGTTCGTTTTTCTGTTCTGTGTAGTTTTATTCGGTTTTTATTTTTCCATTTCTTTTTGTTTGTCTGGTTATTTTTTTCTATTCGGCCCGAATAAAATCTTTTCAAATTCAAATTTTTTTTCAATACAATAATAAATCATACATCATTTATGTATACGCTCAAAATATAGTGAAAGGAAAATTGTTATGTTGATTTTTTTTTGATATGTTTTTGTATATATATTTATTATATAAACATTATATCATCATCATCATCATCATTGTCTGGAATTTTGTTGGATTGGTGCCCGAAGCTTATTCTCTATGTGTATTGTGTGTATGTGTGTGTTTATTGTTTGTCGGTGAAAAAGTTTATTTTGTTGAGAATCAAATGAAGATGAAAAATCATGTCTTGTAAAATTTTTTTTTTTTGATTTAATCAATCAATCTTTATTTTTTTTTGTTTCGTTTTTTTTGATTTTATAGTTCAAAAATTTTTGGAAAAAGCAAAAGAAGATTTTGAAAGAAAATGGAACCAACAGGGTTCAAATACGGCATCATTAGAGGATTATGAACGTATAAAAACATTGGGCACCGGTTCATTTGGCCGTGTAATGCTTGTACAACGAAAATCTGGTCCAGATGCTGGGAAACATTTTGCCATGAAAATTCTTGATAAACAAAAAGTTTGTTTTGTTTGAAAAAAAAATTTTTCATCATTTCTTTAAATTGTTTTCTTCTTCTTTTTTTTTTCATTAATCACAGGTGGTCAGATTGAAACAAGTGGAACATACATTGAATGAGAAAAAAATATTACAAGCTGTAGATTTTCCATTCTTAGTACATCTTGATGCTTCATTCAAGGTAAGTGGGTTCAATATTTGTGGAAACAAACAACGTATGGATTGAATCGTTTTGGACATACACACACACACACACACACATAACCATTGTTATATAACAACAACAACAACAAGTTCCATTTTTGATCCAAACCATATAACATAATGATGATGATAACAATTAAATTTAGGATGGAGGCCATCTATATATGGTCATGGATTTCATTCAAGGTGGTGAATTATTCACGAAAATTCGTTTATTTAAAAGATTTAGGTATAATTTTTTATTATTATTCCTTTCTTTTTTTTCCAAGTGTCAAGAAAATATTCTGTTTGTAATAATCCATTGTCATCATGTCTTCTGTTGAATATATATGTGTATGTCTTTGTGTCCATTACAAACTTTTTTGTTTTGTTTTGTTTTGTTTTTTGATTCATGAAGAGCTTACAACTACTAGCAGCAGCTAGATAGGGAAAAAAACACAGTTAAACAACAGTCCAAACGATAAACGATTTTTTTTGCAGGATTGAATTTGTCTTTTCTTTTTCTCTCTTTTCAAATAATATTTCTGTGTTTTTTGTGTTTTTTTTCCTTCATCCAAAACCACATTAGGACAATTCATATTTATACATGGTCTTGGAATATGTACCCGGTGGTGAAATGTTTTCCCATCTAAGAAAGACGGGAAGATTTAGGTAATTTTTTTTTACTTTACTTTTCTCCTAATTTTCGTTTGTATTATGAAAAATGAAATAATCATTTGTAGCGTATAGACAATAATAACATTGACTAACCAACCACCCATTATAATAATGATGATGATGATCAAACTTTAATTTTTTTTTGCTTTAAAATTCATTTTTGCATGTATGTTTTGCTTGTTTTTGTTGTTGTTCACATGTTGTTCATCTTTCTCATCAGATGTTTTTTTGTTTTGTTTTGTTTTGTTTTTGAACAAAAAATTTTACTCATTAAAAATTGTTTTTTATTATAGCGAACAAATGGCTCGATTTTATGCCGCACAGATAGTGTTAGCATTTGAATATCTTCATTATCTCGATCTCATATATCGTGATTTAAAACCAGAAAATCTATTAATCGATTCACAAGGTTATATTAAGGTATGTGTAATGGAAAAATCTGGCCATTTTTTATTGAAAACAAAATTTTCTCGTTTGTAGGTCACAGATTTTGGTTTCGCCAAACGAGTCAAAGGTCGTACATGGACGTTATGTGGTACGCCCGAATATTTAGCACCAGAAATTATTCTAAGCAAAGTAAGATATACCATACGATTCAAAAACGATGATTTTTTTTCTAATTTTTTCCTTTTTATATATATATAGGGTTATAACAAAGCAGTCGGTATGTTTTTTTTTGTGTGTGTTGTGTTATATTTGTTTATTTTTCATTTTTAATCCTTTGTTTTGTTTTTGTTTTTTTTTATATATTCAGATTGGTGGGCACTTGGCGTATTAATCTATGAAATGGCCGCCGGTTATCCACCATTCTATGCTGATCAACCGATACAAATTTATGAAAAAATTGTGAGCGGAAAAGTACGATTTCCATCACATTTTAGTGTTGAATTGAAAGAATTGTTAAGAAATTTATTGCAAGTTGATCTTACAAAACGATACGGAAATTTGAAAAATGGTGTCAATGATATTAAAAATCATCGTTGGTTTTCATCCACAGAATGGATTGCCATATACCAGAAAAAGGTTTTTGTCCAGAATCTATTTTTTTTATTCTAATTTCCATTGTTTTTTTTTATCAGGTTGAAGCACCATTTTTACCTAAATGTAAAGGACCAGGCGATACAAGTAATTTTGATGATTATGAAGAAGAAGCATTACGAATATCTAGTACAGAAAAATGTGCGAAAGAATTTGCCGATTTTTAGCGATAAAATAAATAAATAAAATAAAATATATATGACAACAACAACAAAACAAAACAAAACAAACAAACAAACAAACAAACATCATCATCGTTGTATTCACAATCAAATCAGTCAGCCAATAAACAATTGATGAGTCACATACTATCATACACACACACACACACACACACACACACACACAAAAAGGTGACATTGAAAAACCATTTAAAAACAAATCAATTTCAATTTCAATTTTGTGTCGATCCAAATTCATCACCATTCGTTCTTTCATAATCATCAACATCATCATCATCATCATCATCAATCATTTGTCACCAGCATCTGCATTTGCATCGTTTCGTTTTTGCATTTTGTTTCATTGTTTTTTTTTTTTGCCTCTTTTATTCTCATCCACCCGCCCCTTCATTCATCCATCATTGTATTCACAATCATCATTGGTTTACATTCGTAATAAATAAATAAAAAAAAAACAAAACAAACAAACAAACAGATAAATCTTTCAAGTTATTTGATTTATATTGAAGAATTGAAGAATTGATTACTGGTGTTCATCATCATCATCAAGAATTTTATTTGAACTACACACACACACACACACAACAGAAAACATTGAATGATGATGATAATGACCACAGGCTATTGATGAGATATACACAAAACTGAATTGGATTAAAGAATATTCATGTCCATATATAAGTATATTATATGATTATTATAATCCCAAAAAAAAAAAAAAAAAATTTTTTGTTATAATTTTGTTGACAATTTTTTCTTTCCTAAATATATTTTTTTTTGTCTCATTCACTACTTGAATTCATTTCTTGAAATTCAGATTCAAATTCAAATTCAAAAATTTTATTTTCAAATCCTCTGGGCTTCTTTATTTCCTGCTGTATTCACTGATTCTTTTTTTCACACACACACACACACACACACACACGCACACACTGATGGGTTCCAAATGTAGATTTAATTAATTCGTTTCACACACACACACACACACACACAATTGAAAAATTCTAGTCGCCATTGATAAATTATCGCGTCCATAACAACAAACGATCAATAGAAAATTTCAATCGATTTTTATTTTCTCAACAAGAAAATTGTTATTATTGATCGAAATCAATAATTTTTGTTGTTGTTGTTGTTTCAATAACTTTCTTGTCAGACACACACACACACACACACACACATTACAATCACATCACACTTTTTATTTCATTCTACTATTCATCAATTTAGCCAAGCGCTTGATTCTTCCATTTTTAATGTTTTTTTTTCAAATTTTCAATTTAATTTTGTTTTATTTTTATTTTTGTTCAAAATTTCAATTTTCATCAACAACAACAACAAATGAATGAATGAATGAATCGATTCTTTTTCGTGCGCAACTCGTAAACAACAGCCGTTAATCGTTTAACCATTTTTTTTGCAATTTTCATTTTTTTTTTCTGATGATAATCGATTCTGTGTTTCTATATATACATACATACATACATACACATATATAGAATGAAAGAAAATCACCTATTGCAACAACAACAACAACAACAACAACCGCCCACAACAAAAACCCGAAATATATATTGGAGAAAATGTCCAAATTATTAATTGATTATCGTGATTTGTGGTGAAACACGAAAATTAATTAACCAACATATATATGTTTCGTTTTCTCTCAACTTTGTTATTCGAAAAAAAAAAAACAAAACAAACAATGTAAATATATTATTATATGGATAAATTATTATTATTATTATTAATTTTAAATTTTAAATTTGAAAAAATAAAAATAAAAATTCATTGAAAACACTAATAACGTTTGAATTTCAAAAAACCTGACGAATATTCACATTCACACGAAGAATATTTCCATTTTTGACCAATGTTTCTGATGGCAATATTTTTGGCACTGAATGTAATGCTAGACGACTTTCATTGGACATTATGACTAAATCTGAATCGTTTAATAAAACAGGCACAATTGGTTGTGATGATTGTTTGGTTTGGCCACCGATCAAAAATATGGCCGATGATCCAAGACTTAAACTGAATAATGGTGCATGATGATTCAATTCTGAATGATCAGTATGAAAACATAGTGATGAATTTTGTGTATAATAATTAACAATACCAGCTTCAGGTTTTAAAGTAGATGATGATGATGATGATATATGGAAATTCATAAACATCGATACAATTCGACATAGATCGTTGATTCGATCAGGTATCCGTACGGTTTTCTGATTCAGATCATAAACTTTACTGTTCCAATCATGATGATAGCCAAATGTTATCCATCTTAATTTTGATTTCGATTTTTCATTCAAATCATTTAATGAAATATTCGATTTAAGATTCAATTCCTCATGATATGATGGCAATTGATCATGAAAATAATCGAACCAATCTTGTCGAAAATTTTCCTTCAATATTCCAGTTATGATAAAAAATCCATCCAAACCTTTGATTAATTTATAAATCTTCCATTGATCGAATGGTTTGAAATGTGTAAACGTTTCGCAATTAGCAACAACTGATGGTGATGAAATGTCTGAAGATTGTTCCAGTTGTTGAAAGAAATTTTCATAATTTTCAGCGTATCGAAGATCGATTAATGGTAAATCGGATTTTGGCGACCAATTTCTATAAAGTTTAAATGTTGTCTTGTAAATTTCTTCACCCGAATCAGCCATTCTGGTGCACGCATGTGTGTCAGGTGTACCAAAATTGGTCGAAATAGTCGACAAAAACAACGATTTTTTTTCGAACAAAAGATTTTTTTCAAATTCATTTGTCCCTAATTATTGCATAATTTATCATTATAAATTAATCATGAGTGGTGGTATATACGGTGGTGGTGAGTAAATTCAAATTGAAATCCTTAAAATATAGATTAATTGTGTATTTGATTTGAAAAAAAAGATGAAATGGGCGCTTTAGTATTCGATGCTGGCCATCATTCATTTCGTGCCGGTTTCGCTGGTGAAGATTGTCCAAAAACTGATGTTCCATCATTAATTGGCTACATTGATGATCCATCCGAATCGAATATTAAAATGGACATTGATTCTCAATATGATACCAATGCAAATAACATCACTTCAACACAACGTCGATACATTTTCGATACACCGGGTATAAAAAGTCCTCGATCTCATATGGAATTGACAACATTTCTAAAGGATGGAATGAGTAAGATAATCAACAGAGTTATTTTTATTTATGAAATGAATCTTACTTTTTTCATTTTTTTACAGTCGAAAATTGGGATCTTTTCGAAAAAATGCTTGATCATATCTATAAAAAACATCTAAATCTAGATGCATCTTTACATCCCGTATTATTTTCAGAAGCACCATGGAATGCTCGTAGTAAACGTGAAAAATTATGTGAATTAATGTTTGAAAAATACAATATACCGGCATTTTTCTTGGTCAAAAATGCTGTATTAGCAGCATTTGCTAATGGACGTGCTACCGGTGTTGTTCTTGATTCTGGACAGAATCAAACATCAGCTGTTCCTGTACATGATGGTTATGTAATACAACAGGCTATCATACAATCACCATTGGCTGGAAATTTTGTCACCAATCAATGTCAACAATATTTCAATGAAAAGAATATTGATATCGTTCCCTATTATATGATTGCATCGAAAGAAACTGTTAAAGAAAGTGAACCAGCACGTTGGACAAAACGGTCAAACATTCCGGATAATTTGACAAAATCCTGGCGAAACTATATGATCAACGAAACGATTCATGACTTTAAAGCATCAGCATTACAAGTCGGTGATACTGCTTATAATAAAGATGTTGCCGAAACGATGCCAGCCATACATTATGAATTTCCAAATGGCTACAATATGGATCTAACATCGGATCGTTTTCTAATTCCCGAAGCATTATTCGATACATCACAGATCAAAGGCTTTACATCTACTGTAATGGGAATGTCACAGATTGTCACACAAAGTATTGGATTATGTGATCTAGAAGTACGTTCATCATTACATGGTTCAGTTATTGTTACTGGTGGTAATACATTGATCAGTGGTTTTACTGATCGATTAAATCGAGATTTGACAACAAAAACTCCAGCTGTATGTAAAATTTTTTTTTAATCATTTTCTCTCTTTCTCTCACGCACACAGACATTCATATCTAATCTAAAATGTTTTTTTTTCACATAAAAAAATACAGAGTATGCGATATAAATTAATCATACCAAGTTCAACATCTGAACGTCGTTATGCATCCTGGATTGGTGGATCAATATTGGCTTCTTTGGTAAATAGTTTTTTCTTTTCTTTTTTATACTTATTATAATCTTTAATTGTTTTGCTTTTGTTTGTAAGAATTCATTTCAACAAATGTGGGTTTCCAAACAAGAATATGAAGAAGAAGGAAAAGGACAAGTGGAACGTAAATGTCCGTGAGAATGTGTGGAACTGCTGGAACCAAAACAATAAAATTGCTTCGATAACCCCCAAAAAAATATATTCAACAATCACATTATTATCATTTCACTATAATAGCATTTGACCATCATCATCATTTATTTTATATTGGAATTATTTCATAATCAATTTATCGATTTGCTTCATATATTAATTTTTATTTGTAATTTGACCGTTTTTTTCAACTGAGAAAGGAAAAAATTAAATTTTGAAATAACAAAAAAAACGAATTAAAAATGAACCCACTATATGAAAGGTGAATATTTATGAATTCGTGTCATTGAGCGAACATTCAATAGTTCGAGTTTACTTGAATTTACTTTGTTGTTTTTATATCTTGAGTGTGAAAAATTTTGATTATTTTTCAGCTTTGGTTCGGTTTTTTTTAGCTGCTATTGGAAGAAATGTTTTACTTACGAAATTCAAGGTATTCGAAAATCAATTGATTACCATAAATGTTTACAATAATAATGATTATCAAATCTTTTTTACAAATAGCTCTCGATTGATTGCCATAATACGATCGGCATCATCAATGAAATGTTCGATTAATCAATATTCGATCATTAGCCATAAGATAATTTTACCATCCACATCAATTCGAAATACATTTATTGGCCAAAATTGTCGATCATTTTCCGATGGTTCAGATTCGGAGACAATGAAATTATTTGAAAAAGCTAAACCATTGATATCAGATCAATTGAAAAATGAAATCAATGCAACAATGGTGTTCTGTATATCTGGTAAAAATTTTCTATTCGATTCACATTCATCACGGCCATTGAAAATCGAACCAATTGATGAAGCACCGAAAGATGTTGATGTAACAATGATTACTGATGAAAAGACATTTATGAAATTGGCTAAAGGTGAAATGAAAGCAGCAAATGCATTTATGGCCGGTAAATTAAAAATCAAAGGCAACGTACAGGTTGCAATGAAAGCGGAAAAAATGTTCAAAGCATTACAGAAATGATTATCGATTCGATTGATTTTATAATGATAATTTGTTCAATTTGTAGAAAAACAACAAAACACCACTAGCCCCAATAATGGCAATTCAATATTGTGTTATTATCATCCACTAATTTTAATATTAATAAAATATATAAATTCTTTGTTTCATATCTGTAGTTTTTTTTCATCAATGTGATAAATTTTCGATGATAAAATATTTGATGATGAGAACGCCACAGTCATTTTATTAACACTGTGAATGACATATGATAGGGAACCCCGACTTGTGATTGAAATGTTTTTATCATGTGCCATAACCTAAAAAACCATAGACCATCTCAAACGACGTAGTAAATGAATGATGAAATCTGTAGAGAAAGATATTAAACATCCACTCAACAATTCTACATAAAAACAAGCTGAAGAAAATGATTTTTAAAAAATAACCATCAAAATTTAATATAAATTTATCAATGATAATTCAAAAATAACATCATATATCATCGTGTTTTTAATAATAAATCGAAAATTTTCATCATTGATCATGATCATTTTTTCAATGAATTCTGTTCACGATGATTGTCAATAAATTTTTCATGTCTTCGTATGACATTCGCTACGATTAATTGTTCAATTTCTAATTGATTTGAATTTGGATCAATTTCAATGTCTTCAGATTCATCAGCTGTGACTAATATAACTTTCCATTTACGTGTATTCAATTCATTTGCAATGACTAATTTATGTCCATAACGATTCAATGCTTCACGTGCTTTTTCCAACAATATTTCGGCTTCGGTTTCCAATTTGAAGGAAATAACAAAAGCATCTGGTACCCAAAATTTAACTAATGGTCGTAAAATTTTTGGTACCATTTCAAAATGTAGCCGCAGTGGTCCATTCGAATGAATTTTATGTACAGCCATATTATCGGGTGGAATGTAAAAATCGGAAACAGCAGCAGCAAGATAGAGCATAACACGTGATTCATATGGTTTCAATAGAGCAGTCAATTCACGAAGTATAAATAAATATTCGGATAATGTTGTGAATGTAATCTTCAACAAACGATTAGATGTTTCATTCATTTTTGTCAATATTTGTACAAGTTTTGGTCGAATCTTTTCGGATACTTGACATGAATATGAATAAATAGATAATCGGTCAATAATTGATTGACAGAAATCAATAATGGATAATCAAACCTTCAATTCGATCATTCGTTGGATCATATTTAAGATTCGATAATAATCCATCAAAGTGTCTAGAGAATGGTTCCAATGATTTTTGCCGATACAAAAAGATGACAGCATATTTATTTGTATCAAAAAAATATCTAATAAAAATCAATCAATCAATCAATCAATTAATTCTTTTAAACCAATCCATAACACTTACTCGACTGAAGCAGAACCACGTGTACCGGCACTAAAATTATCAATAAATCGTACAGTATTATGTTCCATAGGAACGGTTGTACCACCAGACTATAATATGAACAAGAAAAAAAAATCATATGAATCAAAAACAAATGAACAAAGGTCATATTAATTACCGTAATGAGGACAATTTTTCGATCAAGATTTTGTTGACAAAATCTATGGGCACGATCACGTATTTCATATAAATTTTTTGGTTTCTGTAATTGTTGAAAAAATTTTTCAATCTTATCCAATTCATCAATTATACTGGATTGTTGCTGTAATATGGGTTTAACATTGTTGTTCGATGAATTGGCCATCGTTTTTTCTTTACGAAACAGAATTTTATAGATTATATTCAATATATATTCCAACAAAGCAATGTTTTAATTCACATTTAATAAACTCGTGATGAGATGAGTACATCCACCATTTATATGGTATAAACATTTATTTATTTATTTTTTTTGGGTTCTCGCATCACACATTATACCAGCTGACGTTGCTTTTTTTTCTCTGTGAACAATTGTTTGAACACTGCCGTCATCATCATCATTTTAATAACAGTCGAAAAATGATACACCAAACACCATACACACACACACACACGCATACATCATGGACGTATATATACACGTTTATCAAGGAAATTTTCTTGATTTTTTTCAGCCATTGAATTTTTCCCTAAATGATAACAGAAAATTAAATTTTTTTATTTACAATAACAACAATGACATGGCAAATTTCATATTACAATTGAGAAAAAAAAACAATGATGATAATAAATTTCCTTCTACTGTGTGTGTGCTTGAAGCATGCAAATATAACAAACTTTTCTGTTTTTTTTTGTAAAATTTTCAATTATTTAAATATTTTGAGTGATTTTTTTTTTTTGTTGTTGTTGTAATTTAATTTGTAAATTCCATGATTGTCTTCTATGAAGATTGGTTGGTTGGTTGGTTGGTTGATTAAAATGGCGAAGCTTTTCATTTGATTTGGTCAAAATTAGATGAAAGAAAGAAAATAAAAATCATTTTAAGGATTAATTTGACTAGTCACAATTCATTAGTTGAGAATTTCAAGGGTGATGATGTATGCTTGTTTTTAATCTTTGATGTAATTAACGTTTCATCATTTCATACACCACTTGATACTTTCGCAGATGATGATGATGATGAAGATGATGTTTGAATTTCATCAATATAAACAGTCAATAAAAATTTATATATCATATCGAATGATGTAAAACTTATACCAACAGCAATAGGACCTTTCACCCAATTTAATGACAAGCCTTTATATAGTCCATGTATGAAACCTTCTTCAGTGACAACTTTTTTCATTGTACCAATTATACCAAGCTCAACATAACCATGTTGTGTTTGCATTCGTCTTCTTACAATATCTAATGGATATGATGCTGATTGACCAAATAGACCAGCTATGGCACCGAATAACATCCGTAATAATGGATGTATATCATTATTGCCGTAATAATCTACGTGTGGGCCAAAAATAAAATAAAACATCACTGATCATATACAAGCATAATAAAAAAAAAATACAAACCATAATGCAATCGTTTAAGGGTTTCATATGTAAAAAAACTACTACCAGCATATGGTATTACACCACAAATTGTTGGAATGAAACCGCGATATAATGAAAGAATTCCACCTTCATTAATTGAACGAAGGAACACTTGTGTAAGACTTGGATACGTGCTACATACGGCCATACGTGCACGTGCTACATCCAATGGATAGGTAGATGCAGTCGATACAAGACCAGCTAATGAACCGGCCATAAATGAACGATGTGGATGTGCTCTCCTATCAACAACCATGGTTTAAAAAAAATATATAAAAAATGTCGAAATTGAATCAAATTGTTTACAACTTACTTTTGATCATTTGTTTCCACTTGCAATAAATGTTTAAATTGTTCATGACTTGAATATTGTATGGCTGCATATGGTACAACACGTGCCATTGTAGCGGAATTTCCACGCCAAAGACTTGTGATACCGGATTCATTATATGATTTCAATAGAAAATCCATCACACCGGGAAATGTAAACATTTTATTCTGTGTTTGAAAATAAATTTTCGTACGATCTAATGGCGCAATGGCCGTTTTGGCCATTGCGCCTGCCAATGCTCCAGCTATTAGAGACGTGATTACTCGTTCTGTATGGGTCAATTTCTTATCGGACTAAATTTTAAAGAGATAATGAGAAAAAAAATTAAATTAAAATCTACAATTTGATAAATAAATTTGACTTACCCTTACGGTCATTGAATTTTTTCAAATTATGGCCAAAATTTTCTGAATTTTTTCAATATTGACCAATTGGAGAATTTTTTCTTTTTGAATTTTAAAAAGGAAAAAACAACAACACCACACTTCAATTACATTCAATTTGAAATGAATTCTTGTTTTGAATGTTGAAATTCAATTCAATTATATAATAATTATTGTATTTTTTTCGATGATGATGATTTAGGGAATCTGTGAACCGATGTGATATAAATTTTTTGTATGTATGCCTTGAAAAAAAGAAGAAATCTACGACGACGACGGCAACGACAATCACAAACCCAGTAAAGCATCAAAAGATAATCAACAGACACTAATTATTGTATGTGTGTGTGCTTGTGTACATTTGCTGATTGTTGTTGTTGTTGTTGTTGTTGAACCAGAAAGGATCACCGTTTATGCTTCGTTTATGTTCGACTGATTGATCGATCAAATGATAAAAATGATGATGATGATTGGCCCAAATTTGATGATTCGATATCAGAGAAATGAAATGAAAAAAACAGACATGAAATTAATAATAATAAAAATGTACCATTAAAAATCTAATCAAACAAACAAATAATTTAATAAAATAAACAAGTGATAAAGCAGAAAAAAAATTTATACAAAAATATATGAATCTTGAACCCACATTGGGAAAACAATAGAAAATGGTAATTAAAAAAAAATTTTTTCTTTTATATCGATGTTAAAAGAATTTTTAAAAAAAAATAGTGTGGTATTAAAAAAATAAACTACCATTACATCCTATTTGTTCATTCACTTTAATCGTTGATTCTATTCCAATCAGAAGGTTTTTTTTTGAATTGAAGGTGAAACGTGTGCGAATTATTATCATCATCATCATGATCATCGTCAAGAATGTGTATACATGCTGTGTGTGTGTGTGTGTGTGTACTTTTCAGACATTTGATAATGAATAACAATGGTAACAAATGTACTTGGCATTCAACCAAATAAAAAAAAAACAATGCTTACATTGATTTCAATAATTTTTAAACGAATTTCAAGTAAAATAGAATCATAATGATATTCTTTTTACACACACACACACAGAACTAAAACAAACAAATTTCATGACTTGAAATTCTTGTTTTTGTTATTATTATTATTTGTGTGTTGGTGTTCGACCGATTTCGATTCGACGTACGAAATCAATCTATATATATATGAAGATGAATGGCAAAATTTTTTTTTGTTGAAGATAACGGTAAAAAAAAATTATGATTATGAAATCGTTTAAATTACAAAACAACACATTTCTAATATTTAGTTCACTTTTTTCTCTTTACCACAATTTTGATGATAATAATGACGAGAACATATGATCGGTGTTCAGTTTCGATGATATTTTCATCATTTGATGAAGGTTCGAAAGTTGGCCATATCAATCTATATATATATGAAGATGAATGGCAAAATTTTTTTCGTTGAAGATAACGGTAAAAAAAATTATGATTATGAAATCGTTTAAATTACAAAACAACACATTTCTAATATTTAGTTCACTTTTTTCTCTTTACCACAATTTTGATGATAATAATGACGAGAACATATGATCGGTGTTCAGTTTCGATGATATTTTCATCATTTGATGAAGGTTGGATTCCATTCGAATGTTGTGTTGTGTTGTGTGTGTCTGTATAAACAAAAACACACACACACATGTGCACCAATAATATATGCTGCTAGCATATAATAAATAGTGGTAATCAACGATTAGGATATTTCCATCAAATCAGTGTTCTCCAACCGTTCTGAGATTTAATCGATAAAACCGGGCAATTAGGTAAAATTAATCTTTGTCACATGAATCCAATGTTGATACAGATTTTATTGAACACTCAACTGAATTAATATGATTAGATGAAAATCAATGATCAATAATTTTGACAAACATTTTTTTTATTCTCGATTCATCCACCAAACGGTTGAAAAACACTGTTTTTTTGATAATAATAATCAAAACAAAGCACGTGATTCAAGATTGGATTTTTTTTCTTCAAGTGCAGCTGATTTAGGTACATGTCATCGGCAAAATGCATACAAAACCGAAAATCATGACAAAATAATCATCATCAAGATGATGATTATCATATATATCCTGGTGATTATCATCAATATGTCATATATGCATCACGTTCCAATATATTGGATTTTTTTTTCTCACAAATGACCTATTTGACCAAAAAGTCTTGACTGACAAAACAGAACAAAATTTAAAAAAATGGATATCTCTCGAATGTTTCGTGCTTGTAAATTGGGTGATTTCGAAACCCTCAAGTAAGTAATTGATATAGACATAATGTGTGTGTGTGTGTGTGATCATAATTTTGTTTGTTCTTTTTTTTCTCATTCAAAATATATCTACAACTAGAACTTTGATCGAAACCAAAGATGTTGATGTTAATTTTCGTGATAAATTCGATTCAACACCATTATATTATGCATGTCTTTGTGGCCATTTGAATGTGGTACGTTTTCTTCTTGAACATGGTGCCAAATGTGATATTAAAACATTTGATGGTGAACGTTGTGTTTATGGTGCATTGACTGATGATATAAGAAAATTATTATTGAAAGAATATAAAATAATTAGTAAAAAAGTTATTCGTCGAAATGATTATGATGAATTTCTTCGTAAATCATTAGATAATTCAGATTATGCTGATGTTATATTTTATGTACATCAAAAAACTTTTAAAGCACATCGTTATATATTGATGATACGATCAGAATATTTTCGGCAAAAATTCATTGGAAAATGGAAAGATAGAAATGTTATTCATATTAAAAATGAACATGTAAATCCGGATGCATTTAAAATATTATTACATTTTCTCTATACTGGAATATTGGAATTTTCATACAAAATCCGTGACGATGTTTGTCGATTATTTCGACAATGTCAGATGGAAAAAATAAACGATATGATTGAATGTCGAATACAAGAATTACAAAAACAATTACGATCATCATTTCGGCAAAAAAATGTTACAATTTATATGGATTTTCCAATTTTGTTTGATTATAGAAAATTATTTCAAACAACATTACCGATGGATTTGATTATTGATCAAGATGAAAATTTTGATATCAATGTAAATGAATTGAAAATATTACAAATGGCCAGTGATGTGGTGTTTCGTGTGCAAAATCATCTATTCTATTGTCATAAATTATTTTTTGCTGGACGTAGTGATTATTTTGCTGCATTATTTCGTGATCATTTCGGCGAATCCGATACAAAAATTCCTACCGGTACTACATTTACCATCAACGATCGTGCCGATTTATTTCGATTATTGATTTGTTTTCTTTATACAAATGATGTTGATATAACATTGGATCAAGCATGTGATCTTCTTTATGCATCGGATGTCTATCTAATTGAATCATTAAAAAGACATTGTGCCACTGTGATTGGTAACAATATTGCCCATTTTAATCCAATCGATATAATTAAATGGTCACGTGTGTTGAATCTATCAAAATTGGAAGCAATAGCCACACAATATATTGCCGAAAATTTAAAACAATTTATTCATCATAATGATTTCAAACAATTGGTCATTGAAGATGCTCATTCGGTTCGACAAAGACAAGAAACAGATACGATCGATATTATTGATGATATTCGATATTATCTATCGATTTGTTCGACAAAAAAAGATATACAATCAGAATTATTACAAATTGATCTACTTCTTGAATCATTACAATTGGATGCTTGAAAAAAAATATTGATTATGATGATGATGATGATGATGGATGAAAAGAATTTGAATAAAACCAAAATCAAATAGTAGTACTCATCAAAGAGAAATTAATCAGACCAAAATCATTATTATTCGTAATGGATGATAAATTTTTCGATGCATGTACACGCCATGATCCACCGCAAACACATTTTTTCACCCATTGTTGATCCCATGCTCGTGCTGCCGGTGATCGTGTTGTCGATTTTATTGATGATACAGAATTACATCTTGTACATGACCGAATCAATTCGTTAATATTTTCATCCACATAACCAAGTGAAATATTACGTAAAACATCAATTCGTCGATCGCCATGAATGTTGAATGTGCCTTCAATGATAGGAACTTTTACCGTATATTCTAATGATGGTGATTCGATACCATAATGTAGAATTAATGGCAAAAAATGGCTGAATAATGCAGGGCTTGCAATTCCAATCGATTTAAGACAAATATCCATCTGATGAATCATAACCTGATTGGGCAGTACACAACATTCATCGATAATTGTTTCATCAATTTTTTCCGATGAAAGAACCAATTTGGACAATAGTTTAAATGTCGTTGATATGACATCAATATTTTCATGCATCTTATAGAAAGTAGGAACATAATTGGCATTGATTAGACTCCAAAAACGAATGATTACCAATAATTCTCGTAATGTATTCAATGATTTAACATCGAACAATAGGCCAGACTAGAGAGAGAGAGAAAAAGTAAAATTTAGAATAATAAACAATTAATCAAAATCAAATTCTTACCCCAGGTATTCTAAATTGTGGCTGATGACATTGTTGTGGAATCGATGCCAAAAGATATAAAGCTAAATCGCATACCCATTGTAATAAATGTTGAAATGATTGTTGAATAGCTGCTTCGACACAAAAATCTTTTGAATCCAATTTAACCAATACTTTATCAATGGTTATAAATTGTTGAATATCCGAAGTGCAAACGGGTTTTGTTTGTATCATTGAACTAAGCTTTTCGGCTGGACCTTCATTCTCTTGATATTCACGAGCACGAATTAAACGTTTGATTGTTTCGGCAATCGCATTCAACATTTTCATAGCATAATAATCGCCCGACTTGTATGATGTTGGACCGGAATTCACACAACGATATAATGCAGCTTTAAGTTGTAATACTTTATCGAACCATTTTTGCTGTACATATGGTGGCTGTCGTGATCCACAAAAATTTTCGGTAATTTTTTCACATAGTATATCGACAAATTGTGGTTTAATACTGATCAATATGTCCCAATAATCATTACCGGAGATTAATGCATATTCAAGCATTAGTTGAGCAAAATTTAAGCTCATCTGATTACAAGGTTCAATCATTGGTGATAGACGGAAAAAATGTAGCTGTGAAAATGAATCAATTGCTACCATAGCACAGCTACTCCATGTTAATCGGATATCACGGATGATCGATAATTTTTCTGACATCATTTCCTGTTGATTGAACATTCGAGTACCATTATTATTCAGACTTGAATGATTCGTTGTTGCAGTCAAATCAACAGTAACTAATGATTGAAGATTTTGTCGATATAAACATTTTATGGTTTTATCAGTGTACGCTACCATTATATATGATAATGGTGGATTCGTTTCGAACAATAACGAAGCAGGAGTCGATAAAGCTGATACATAATGAGCTGAAATGGTATTCATATTGAATTTCCATCGACGTTCGGTAATTGATTGATTTTGATCCATTTTTTTCAAATTTTTTATAACATTATTGAAAGAAACATTTACGTTACATAGTTCCCATAATTCAATGATTGAACCTTTTTTACCGGATGCTATAACCACTGCAGCATCCGGACATTCTCGAACTATAAATTTCAATCGACTTACAATCGGATAATTATGTACGGATTGATTCGATGATTGATTATTCAATAAGGCACAATCCATATTGAAACTTTCATGTGTTTGACAATGAATCTTGAGTTTTTGTGTTTGATTTTCGGCCAAATTCAAAGAAACAGAAACGGTAAAACAATGAATTGGCATATGAGAATTACCGTTGGATGTTATCACTAAAAATGATCCATTTTCCATATAGGCAATATCGATTAGTTCAATATTTGCTCGGCTATTGTTCAATATATCATATTCTTGAAGTATTTTTCCATCCGAACAGAAAAGATGTGCGTAGACGAAACCGGTGCTAGTGATACAAAGATAACCATCGGTATGTTTATTACCGAATTGTACGACAGATGCTTGTAAACGATTATGGTTGAATTTTTCCTGATATTGAACATCCAGATCTTTTTTATCATAATTAACCATCATTTTCTGTCCGGAATGAAACCAAATGCCGGCAATGATACGATCACCGGCAAAACAACATGAATGATGATCTAAACGTTGCCAATCGGAAAGTAGAAAATCACGCATTGACCATATTTCAATGGTACCCATATCATCACCTATTAAAAGTTTAGCACCTTTATTATCCCATTCCAGTACTGTAATGTTTTCATCATGATCTTTAACCCTTTTTGTTAAAAAAACTGCTTAAAAAAACAGAACACCTCAAATTAATTAACATACCGATATGGATGATATGGTAGATTTAAATCTACAACATATACTCTAGTTTTGAGTAGATTATTTTCTTCTGAATCATCTAAAAGATCAAAATTCGATGTGAATGCCAAAATATTATTATTAGACAGAGATGAAATGACATTTGAAGAGCTAGAAAAAAAAATTCATGAATTTAATCCAAAAGAAATAAAAAACAATTATTCAACTATATTTTATACCCATCTTCAAGAAAATGTCGATGATATGGTGCAACATCATAACCAAAAACAGAATAAAGATGATCCATTATTTTGAAACAATGGACAAGAATTCTGTCGAAAATCAATCAATAAAACAAATGAAGAAACAAAAATACCATCTATGGCAACATTAGTGATACCATCGATGGTGTAAATAGCCCGAAATGTGAATTTCTGTGAAAAAACAAAAAAAAAAAATTCGCATATTTTACAAAACACACACACACACAATTTATATTTATAAAAATATGTACGCTTGGCTAAATTTAGTTTAACAAAAACGTTTTTTTCCTCTGGTTTTTTTACGGTTCATTTCCTAAAAAAATACCATATTCAATATAGACGTCTGATTAATTATCCACCATATACAATCCTTTCGAATCATTATATTATATTGGCGTGAATCTTTTTTTTGTGTTGTGTGTTTAATCTTTGATCACATCACCATCCATATATACAGAAGTACCAAAATCAATATCAATATCAAGAGAGAACATACAATATATCGAATCGAATGTGAATTTTTTGTTGTTCAAAAAATGGGTAATCTACTTTATTCGGTATGTTTTGTTTTTAAATTTTATTAGTAACAAATTTGGGTTCATGTGTTTTTTTTCGTTTCGTTTTCGTTTTGTTTATTTACACAGCGCAAAAAGAATAATGCAAAAGAACAATTGGAAACAATTGAAGATGAAATACATCAAATTGATACATATAAATTAACAGCATTTATAAGGCAAAAAAATTATCTAGCACTCATTTATTTTCTATTCATATTGATCTATCCATCCGGTTTGGCATATATTTATTTTACATTCAACACTGTCAATCGTATGACAATATTGTATTCATTTTTATTCATAATATCATTACCAATGTTGTAAGTATCAATTTTAAGTGATTTGATGATACGATTTTAATTTTTAATTTCAAATTAATTGTAAAATTACATCTAGCTTATATCTAATACGAAAGTATCTGCATTTATATTTTCGTTGGATTATTGAAAATAATAATATTCGTTTAGTGCAATTATTGAAAGAAAAGAAACAAATTCTATCAAAAGTACAAGAAACAGAAACATTTAATGATGCTAAAAGTATATTGGAAAAATATGATCCATCATTATTGCGAAATCTTTCGTTATCATTGAATAATTTATCACAAATAGAATCTTCAAAAACTATTGCTAATACTTCGATTCGTGATCGACGAAATATCGATACGTACAATCGACAACGACAATCATTACCACATGCACCACAATCGAATCGTAATTATATGACACAGCCTTCATCATCATCATCATCGACTCGGCAAACATTAACACAGCCAACATTATCACCACCACCACCACCATCAACAACAACAACAACACCATCAATACGTTATGGACAACGTACAATTAAACCAATATTGCCACAAAATCGAAGTACAGTGGAAAAATTAATTGATTATATGTTCAATGATGGGCCAAATAATCGTTATGCATTGATTTGTCCAAATTGTTCATCACATAATGGTATGGCATTACCGGATGAATTTGATTACATTGCCTATATTTGTGCATATTGTGGTACATTTAATCCATCACGTAAGATACGTCCTACAGCACCGAAAATGATACAACAAAAAGCTATTGAAGCACCATCATCGCCATCGTTAACAAGACCACGATCCAATACGACAACAGTATTGAATGATAGTAATGTGAAAATTTTTGAATTATCAAGCGTGCTCAATAAAACGGTATGTAATGTAATGTAAATGTGATTTTTTTGACATTTTTGAAATTCATTCGATTTTTTTTTCGATTGTAACACATAGAATGATTCACTAATTCGAACTCCACATATTGAAGAACCAGATGATAATGATGATGATGATGATAATCGAATGAAATCCTCTCATAGTGATAAAAATGATAAAGATGTTGCTTTTAAACCGACAAAAGCAAAAGATACTCAACCGCAACAACAACAACAACAACATAATGAACGAATTCGTTCAATCGATTCTTCAAGTGATGATGAATGATTGAATCTGATTCTTCATTGATTTTTCATGTCCATAGCCACCACAAAATTATCACCAAAAATCAACAAAAATTGAGATTTTGTTTTTTTTTCTTCATCATTTCATTTCACTGTATAAATTACCGATTAAATGGAATTTATTATTATATTATATTTATTTATTATATCTCATTGTATTTTTATTGAAGGAAAAAACAACAACAACACATCAACATTTTTAATATTTTTCTTCACATTATCATTAAATGTTATTAGATTATTGATTGATTGATTAAAACATTTAAAAAAAAAAATATGACATTTTTCTATGTAATAAAGAAAATATAAATGAAAGAAATCGATAACACAATCATGTGAAACGAAACAAATCGAAACGAAACATTCTTTTTGATTGGAAAATGGATTAAATTCAAGGCATAAGATATTGATAAATAGATGGATAGATAAATAGATTGAAAATCGAAAACAGTCAGTCAGCAAGAACAATAGCAAACAAACAAACAAACAAAAAAAATGCATTTAGAATGCCTTTTATTATTATGGCATCGATGATAATGGTTCATCTTTTTCAGTTTTGATCTTAGTACCAACAACATTGAATGGATTAATCATATTGATGGTATGGTGTTGGTAATTCTGATGATCATCATTATGATTGATTTTGTTTTTAGTAATTAAACCACCAATTTGATTAATTTTCAGATCATAAAATGATGATTCAATTCGATCAATCTCTTTGTATGCAACAGATATTTCATTTGCAATTGCTTGTTTTTTATTCAACAATTGTTTTTGTTGTAATTCCAAATTTTGTAATTGATTTTTAATCTTTTGTCGACTACGTGCAGCTGATTCACGATTTTTCAAACGTCGTGTCTGTGTACGATTATCATCATTATTATTACTATGATGATGATGATGACCACCAATCAAATTATCGTCATTTGTTGTGGATTTTGATGACGATTTTAACACTGATATATCGAATAGGTCATCATAGCCACCATATCCAGAACTTGAGTAATTTGTCTCTTGTGTTGTTGTTGATGATGATGATGATGATGATGCTGTTGTCTTTTGTGATGAGCAGCCAAACAATGATTCTTGTGATGATCGAAAATTGAATTGATAATTATTATTTGAGTCCATATCATCAATAACATTAGAAGCCAATGTTGGTGATGATGATGATTGTGAATCATTAATCGATGATAGTGAATCAATATCACTTATCAATGATGATGAACGATATTTTGCATATGAATCAAAATCATCATGATTCGAGTGTAATGATGAAGAAATTATGTATGAATCTAGTTCAAAATTGGCCATTTTCATTTCCATTTTTGAATATATTTATTGAATTTAAATCGATTGATTGATGACCAATAAATTTTAATAATACACTAGATGATGATGAATCGATCAATGATTAATAGATAGAGAAAAACTTAGTCAATAATGGTTAAACAAAAAAAAGTGAACAAAAATTCAAGTTCAAATCAAATCAAAAAAAAAAAAATTACTGATGATGTGTGAATGACTTTATTTTCACTAGTTTAATTGACAAAAAAAAATTGTCAATTAAAAATTTGAAAATAAAGTTTCGATTCGGTTATATAATTAACAAATGGACTGTGATTTTTTTTGGAACAAATCTCTCTCTGTGTGTGTGTGAATAAATAACAACGTGTTTCAAACTGGACAGGAAATTCAACAACAACAACAACGAAAAAAATCAAAATGTGTACACGGACTTTTCAAATATATATTTTGAAAATTGAATACTTTCACGTGTGCACGTTTTAGAACTCAACTTTGTGCATACATTTTTTTCTTGCCAAAGTTACAGTGTGCACATGACAGTTGAAATTTTTTTTTGTGTGTGTTACTATCAACCGATTGTAGATGGCGTTATGTTGTGTTTGTAGTTTTTATTTTTTTTTGTTTATGATTTCAAATGTTTGAATGGATGATCATTATCACATATTCTGACCATTTTTTTTTACTTGAATTTTTGAAAAATTTGATTTGTGTTTTCTTAAATATCAAATGTCATTTTATTGTCAGTGTGTGTGTGTGTACATGTTAAAGAAAAAGTTCTTGGTTTTTCTTGTCCATACGTGAATAAATGGAACACATATATGGAACATCAATGACAGAAAAAAAATGTTCCATCAACAACAACAACAACAACAACAACAACAACAACAACAACGACAACAACAACGACAACGACAACGACAACAATCGGAAAATGGAAAATGGAATGAAATAGGCATCAACATTGTTTCATGTGTGTGTGTGTGTGTGTTCATTCCGTTCGTTTGGTTTCAATTCGGTTCAATTTCGACTATCATCATAGTAAGTCTTTTCATTTCATTTTTTTTTCCATGTATAAAAATAGTGAAATAGTGTGTGTGTGTGTGTGTGTGTATGTGCTATGTTTGTGTATGTGATGGGCAAAACTAATCCATCATTTATAGGCGACAGTATGGCTGTATGTATTGTATTGTATTGTATATTTGTAATACTATGGTGTATAATACCCAAAATTGTCAGATGCAGTGGAAAAGAAAATGTGTGTGTCTGTGTGTGTGTGTGTGTAAGAAATGAACAAATAATAAATACATAGGGGCCAAATATATGCAGGTGCTGTGCGTGTCGATAAAATTTCTATGTCGATGATGATGATGATGATGATGATGTGTGTGTGTTTGGGCTCTAAAGTTTGGCCCAAAAAATGTGTGTGTGTGCCATGATGTTTGACGTTTTAAAAAAACAGACAGGCAATACGAAAATTTTTCATCCCTAGAAAATTTCCATTTTTTTTTATATTCCATATAATAATAATAATCTTCTATATATATGGTTAAACAATGTTACTATGTCATTGTAATTCTGCGATTCTTGTGATTTTTTTTTCATCATCATCATCTGGAATCTCATATGAATGACAGATTTTTAAATTTTTTTTTTCGGTTGATGTTAACATAATAAAAATTCAATGATTATGATGAGCATTGAATCGAGGTTCATTCATTCTACCCCGGGTATCAGTCTGATAATATCATCATCATCATCATCATCACCATCACCGCCGCCATTCAATAATACCGATTTAACCCCGTTCAACTGAATGATGATGATGATGTTGATTCCCCTAATGCCATATTATTTTGTCATTAAAAAAAAAATCCAAACGTATGCTTGTTTGTTGTGTTTTTTCGTGGTTTCTGTTGTTGTTGTTGTTGTTGTTCATGATTCAATGTGTTAAATATATTTTTTTTTCTCTCGACAATGATCCACAATTCAATGGATGAATCAATTTTCAAATCGATGATTATGATGATGATGATGATGATGGATAGCAGCAACAGTAAAAGAAGCAGAATTTTTTTTCCAATTTTTGTTCAATCAAAAAAAAGTGTTAAAATTTTAAAAATCATATATATAACAATCTAGTGATTATGAACTCAACAACAAAATGTGGTTGTCTTCATAAGAAAAAAAAAATAATAATAATAAGGTGTCATGGCAAAATGATTATCACGTCACCGAAGATGATATATAAATTTTAGAAATGTCAAACACCGACAACAACAACAACAAGTCAATTATAATATCTGTCTGTCTATTTGGAAAAATTTTTTTTTCACTACCGAATACAGTTGACAGTTTTGACGACTTGATTCTCGATTTAATAAGAATTTTGTTTCTTTTCTCCCATTGAAAATGAATTGAAATGAAAATGTGTCATTGGTGTGTGTGTGTGTGTGTGTGTGTGTGTGTGTGTGTGTCATGGTGTTCCAAAAAAAAAAAATATTCCATTTTTTTCCATATTTTCAATATTTTGATTGATATTGATATATTGATAATAATAATAAAGTCACTAATATATACTTGTGATTGAGTCAATCAATGGATCGTATGCGTGTGTGTGTGTGCGTCATTTGATTATGTTTGAAAATCCTTTTATTTTTCATGCTCATCTTCAAAAATCTGTCATTCATTCATTCATTCATTTTTTGTAATGAAATGACATTTATACCATGTGTGTGTGTGTGTGTAAATATTAAAAGTAAAGTCAATCGGCGTGTGTATGTGATATATTGATGACATGTCATATATATGGTGGTGGTGGTGGTGGTTGTTCATTTTCCAATGTTTCAATGTTGAATATATATGCATAATTTGACAGTTTTACATATCTGACAAAAAAAAGATTGACACATGGCCACGGCCTTTTATTCCTTTTTGTTATTTTGTGTGTGTGTGTGTGTGTTTTTTCGGTACCCGAATGTAACAAAGTTCCAAAGTTTCAGTTTTCTATCTAATCTATCGTTTAAAATCTAAATGGCAAATTGGTGTCGTCTTTTTATTTTTGATTTTGATTTTAAACAATCGACAAATTGCTTTTTTTTGCTTGCTTGCTTAGATTGAAAGATTAGATTTTTTTTCTTTTTTTCTTTCTGATTTGTCAAATGTTGCTATATTTGATAAAATGGCATTTTGACAATGACCCAATGGTTTTCAATTATTAATTGTGTAATTTTGAAATGTGTGTGTGTGCCATGATGTTTGACGTTTTTTTAAAAAACAGACAGGCAATACGAAAATTTTTCATCCCTAGAAAATTTCCATTTTTTATATTCCATATAATAATAATAATCTTCTATATATATGGTTAAACAATGTTACTATGTCATTGTAATTCTGCGATTCTTTTTTTTTTTTCATCATCATCATCTGGAATCTCATATGAATGACAGATTTTAAATTTTTTTTTTCGGTTGATGTTAACATAATAAAAATTCAATGATTATGATGAGCATTGAATCGAGGTTCATTCATTCCACCCCGGGTATCAGTCTGATAATATCATCATCATCATCATCATCACCATCACCGCCGCCATTCAATAATACCGATTTAACCCCGTTCAACTGAATGATGATGATGATGTTGATTCCCCTAATGCCATATTATTTTGTCATTAAAAAAAAAAATCCAAACGTATGCTTGTTTGTTGTGTTTTTTCGTGGTTTCTGTTGTTGTTGTTGTTGTTCATGATTCAATGTGTTAAATATATTTTTTTTCTCTCGACAATGATCCACAATTCAATGGATGAATCAATTTTCAAATCGATGATTATGATCATGATGATGATGATGGATAGCAGCAACAGTAATAGAAGCAAAATTTTTTTTCCAATTTTTGTTCAATCAAAAAAAAGTGTTAAAATTTTAAAAATCATATATATAACAATCTAGTGATTATGAACTCAACAACAAAATGTGGTTGTCTTCATAAAAAAAAAAAATAATAATAATAAGGTGTCATGGCAAAATGATTATCACGTCACCGAAGATGATATATAAATTTTAGAAATGTCAAACACCGACAACAACAACAACAACAACAACAAGTCAATTATAATATCTGTCTGTCTATTTGGAAAAATTTTTTTTTCACTACCGAATACAGTTGACAGTTTTGACGACTTGATTCTCGATTTAATAAGAATTTTGTTTCTTTTCTCCCATTGAAAATGAATTGAAATGAAAATGTGTCATTGGTGTGTGTGTGTGTCATGATGGTGTTCCAAAAAAAATATTCCATTTTTTTCCATATTTTCAATATTTTGATTGATATTGATATATTGATAATAATAATAAAGTCACTAATATATACTTGTGATTGAGTCAATCAATGGATCGTGTGTGTGTGTGTTATGTGTGTGCACGTCATTTGATTATGTTTGAAAATCCTTTTATTTTTCATGCTCATCTTCAAAAATCTGTCATTCATTCATTCATTCATTTTTTGTAATGAAATGACATTTATACCGTGTGTGTGTGTGTGTGTGTAAATATTAAAAGTAAAGTCAATCGGCGTGTGTATGTGATATATTGATGACATGTCATATATATGGTGGTGGTGGTGGTGGTTGTTCATTTTCCAATGTTTCAATGTTGAATATATATGCATAATTTGACAGTTTTACATATCTGACAGAAAAAAAAGATTGACACATGGCCACGGCCTTTTATTCCTTTTTGTTATTTTGTGTGTGTGTGTGTGTTTTTTTCGGTACCCGAATGTAACAAAGTTCCAAAGTTTCAGTTTTTCTATCTAATCTATCGTTTAAAATCTAAATGGCAAATTGGTGTCGTCTTTTTATTTTTGATTTTTGATTTTTAAACAATCGACAAATTGCTTTTTTTTTGCTTGCTTGCTTGCTTAGATTGAAAGATTAGATTTTTTCTTTTTTTTTTCTTTCTGATTTGTCAAATGTTGCTATATTTGATGGCAATGGCATTTTGACAATGACCCAATGGTTTTCAATTATTAATTGTGTAATTTGATTTGAAATGTGTGTGTGTGTGTGGTGATTGACAATAATGCACACACACACACACACACACACCAACCACTACCACTACTAATAATTAGCATATATATTTAATCTTTGGCTTATTTTCATCAAATTTTTCATTTTAAATTGAATGATGATAACTTGCCACGTACATTTTTTTTCATTGTACAGAATTGTCCAGAATTTTATTATCATCATAAAATTCCTCTCAAAGCTAAATTGAATAATTTGAATTCTTTATTCCGGTTTTTTTTCTTGTACATATAGTGGTCAGATATTCTTTCTCGAAATTTTTTTTGTCTGCATTAATA